TGCTTCCCTTTGGGGTGTGCTGGCATGGCAGGCCACACAGCCGCTGGGCCTCTGATATTTGCCAGCTGGTTACAGTGTGGATTCCATTTAATGCAATCTTGGAGGGAAAATCATTTTATTGAAGATGAAGATAGAAGCTTAGAGAAGTTAAGAAAATTGTTCAAGATCAGTATCATTTGTTTCTTTTGTTTTGAGACAGAGTTTGCTCTATTGCCCAGGCGCTGGAGTGCAAATGGCGCTGATCTCGGCTCACCACAACCCCGCTTCCTGGGTTCAAGTGATTCTCCTGCCTCAGCCTCCTGAGTAGCTGGGATGACAGGCATGTGCCACCACACCAGGCTGATTTTGTATTTTTTTCTTTTTTTGAGACGGAGTCTCGCTCTGTGGCCCAGGCTGGAGTGCAGTGGCCGGATCTCAGCTCACTGCAAGCTCTGCCTCCTGGTAGGTTCATGCTATCTCTCCTGCCTCAGCCTCCCGAGTAGCTGGGACTACAGGCACTCGCCTACCTCGCCTGCCAGTTTTTTGCATTTTGGCAGAGACGGGGTTTCTCCAGAGCAGCCAGGATGGTCTCTATCTCCTGACCTCGTGATCCACCCATTTCGGCCTACCAAAGTGCTGGGATTATGACTGACACCACGCCCTGCCTGATTTTGTATTTCCTTAGCAGGGAATAGGGTTTTCCATGTTGTTGCTAGGGCTTGGTCTGGAACTCCCATCCTTGGGTGATCCATCCCAACTCGGCTTCCTCATGTTGGGATTACAGGTGTGAGCTACTCACGCCTGGCCAAGGCTATGTAATTTCTTAAGTGGAAAGAGGAAGTACTTGATGAACTCAGAAGTTTGACATCAAGGCCCTTGATCTTTCCATAACACGTGGTTCCTTCCCTGGTTGGTCAGAGTGACTGTGAACTAAGGAAGCCGCTGTGTTTTGTGGGAAAGAGGACCTGAGGGGGTGCATGGTCTTCCAGGCTTGGAATCTGATATGCTGGGCTTTGAATTGTATAGTTTGGCCATATAGAAAGAAGCCCCTTATTTAAGACTTATTCCTTTGGGGAAGAAGGAAGGCCGCCCACATGTATATGCTGCAGCCACTTCCCAGAGCCGCGCACGCTGAGTCGGCACTGTCACCCTGCGTTAACTCCACACTGGCTTTAACTCATTACCATGTCCATTAATCTTACCGCGAACAGCCCTGCGGGAGGCTGCTGTGGGGCTGGAGGCGTGCTGGGTGCAGAAGTGGGATGTTCTATGTGGTTAAGTTAGGGGTGCCGTTTGGCTTTCTCTGAATTATCCTAACTGGAAATAGGGCTAAAATTAGGTGGCTGTCAGTTTTGAGTTTAAGTCTCACATGGGACAGGAGTTGTGGTTTAGTTTCTGGAAGGTGGAGAGAGAGCAGTCTGGCTTCCTGTCTGATGCGCCAGCCTTACTTCATTCTACTGTCAGACCCCAAGATGGTGATTGTTTCTGGTGGCAAAGGCAGGTTGTGGGTCTGAGTTCTGTCTTTACATATGATCAGGCATGGTCTGTTTGTGCTATCTAGTCCTAGATGCGGTTGTGGAAGAGGACAGTTGAGACATATATTGAATTTTTGAGGCCTGTTCTTTGGGAGGAAATCTTCACGTCCACATTTAATCAGAATGAATATAAACAATTGGGCCGTTTATCTTGGAAAGCTGAAAATAGAAATCGTCAACAATACTACCTCAGCGCCATTGCTTTTCTGTCTATCGTTAGGGAATGTGTTTTTATCCACCGCCAGCTCATCATCCACCGCCGCTCATCAGCCTCACCAGTTTGTGGTTGATCTCACTTCTTAAGGCATTCTGTCTTGTGTGCATTCCCATTGTTTGCTAGTGTTACTTTCCTCTTCGTCAGTGTAGTTTATTTGTGTAGTATCTGTTGGTAGGAAGTTATTTGTGGAATCGCAGGAATGGAAGGGACCCTTGGAGGTCCGCTGCACGCCCAGTGATTTTAGAGATAAACGGAAATACAGGGAAATGTCTCCAGCTTTTGGTGGCAAAACCAGGAATAGAAAGCAGTGTTCTTGTGCCACAATGTCACTGGAAGACAGCTCAATGTGGGCCTAAAATGCAGAGTAACTAACTTTCATTTATCTCTGCTTCTGACGCTTGTTATCGGACATTTTAAATTGACCTTAATGTGTTAGCAGAAAGTTAAGGGAAAAGTCCTGACTTGTTTCATATAAGGTACTTTGTCGCCTACTCATTTGGTTGTTTTTTCAACAGGATTGGAAAAGACATTGTTATAAACTGATTGTTTATGTCTCCCCCAGATTCTTGTACTGAGTCCTAACTGCCAGTGTGATGGGTATTAGGGCGTAGGACCTTTGGGAAGTGATTAGGCTACATGAGGTCATGAGCGTGGGCCCTGGTCTGACAGGATTAGTGCCCTTAGAAGAAGAGAAACCAGGTCGGGTGTGGTGGCTCACACCTGTAATCCTGTTTCCTGGGTGGTCTGGGCTGAAAGTGTCTCATCCGGCAGCCCTGTTTCCTGGTCATCTGGATTGGAGTGGCTCCCCATGAGAAGTTGCACCCATCTCTCCAGTAGTGTACCTTTCACAGCAAGCAAAACGTTTCGCCACGTTTCTAGTGGGACAGGCGCTAGCTCTTTCTGGGCATCAGGAGACCTGGGCATGGTTCCCCAGCTCCAAGCAACAGCTGGTGAGTTACTAAAGATAGGTCGCATCTGGCCTCTGGTCCTTCGCTTCTATAAGTAGAATCACAGTCCGAGGCATCACTGCCCTGGTCTCTATGCGGCTGAGTGCTGTGGGGGTGATGGCTATGTCAGGTGCATTTCACCACTAGGGGATTACAGGCCAGCCAAAGATACAGGAGGAAAGCTAACAGCCCCGGGCAGGTACACAGAACCAGAGGAGCTGGAAGGTGGTTCCAAGCTCCTTGGTGATTGATGTGACTACAATAACATTTTATCTCAAGTCTTGGGCCACTGGACCAAGAGCAGAGAGAGCTGCTGCTGAGTTATATGATAGTTGCGTGGTTCGTGTGCCTGCTGAGCCTGGCTTGGACTCAATTCCACTGAGTCCCATCTCCATTTTACCTTCTGTTTCCACCTTTTCATGCTCCTGCTTGTTTCTCCAGAAAAAATGCAATAAATTCCTTTCAAAAACTTTACAAAAGCCATAGATGCTTATTGAAAATAGTTCAAATGATATGGAAGGCAGAAAGATAAGTGTTCTTCTGCTGTGTGTTTGGATGAATGTGTCTTTGGGGTAGTCACTATTAACACTGGGTGTATTTCTTCCAGATCTTTCCAGTGTACCTACAAATATATATGTACACTGTAAAACACAAAATAGTACCTGATAAACTTTGAGTCCCCCCTACCCCACTGCAGTGTACAGGACATCCTTTCATGGTGACACGATGAGACCTGATCGACTCCTTTGTCTGCTGGAGGGCAGGTAATAATAGCTACAGATAACTCACCTCTTCATTGGGCATTTACCATGTGACAGGGTCTGTGCTCCAGGCAGACTACATGAAGTGGATCTGCCGCTTTTACAAACAAATGCCACAGAAAGTAGACTGTTAACATTTTGTAAAATGATAGAATTGCAGTAGGAGTAAGTAGCATGGTTAAATTTCATGGTATAGTTCCCCAAAGAGAGAGGAGAATGTGCTTTTAAAACAATTGTTGCTGTAGCTAAAAGGGATTTATGATCACTTCCAAGAAATAGTGCATTCAGTGAATACATTTCAGGGTCTGTACAGTCTGGGAGCTGTTCCGGAAAATGCACTGGGCTAGTGGTAAGGGAGCTGTCCACGGGCCTCGTCCCAGTGCAAGGGAAGGAGGTCCTGGGGAGAGGGGGCATGGAAAGGAGATCTCTGAACAAACCTTGCAACATCCATTTCTGCTGAATCTGGTGCGAAATTGGTTCTTGACATGTACACTTTTCAGAGATACTTGGTTTTGATTTTTATCATGGTTCACCTGGGCAGCCATGGTTTCAAACTTACTGGAAATGTGGTCTGGCAGGCCAGTGCTATGCTCCATCCCTTCCTGCTCCTGCAGGAGGAGTCATCCTGGGACTAGAGGGTTTCACTGCAATCAGCCATCTCATAATAAGTGGATTTGATGCTGGTTTCGCTAGGTTAGGAAATTTCTCATTTTGGAAGGGAAAATGGATACTTGTGTTTGGGTTTTGCTGAGAAGCCACAGGGTTTAGAGCAGGGACTGGAAGTTTGTTGAGACATTACGTGAGTGCACTTCAAACATCTTCCATGAAACATGGAAATAAAGGCAGTGTTCCAGAGAGGTCCCTGGCTTTGGGATAGAAATATTTCTGTAACAGAATGGTACTCGATGTCTGTTGTATTTTTTTTTCTGCTGATTTTGGCAAGTTTTATTTGGGTGTGTGTCTCCTGTGCCAGAAGGTATGACATCAGTTTTTGCCACCAAGTATTTACAGCTGCTGGTGCTCTCCTATGGCTACTTTTTGTGGCTGTCACTCTTGGGGAAATTGTAGGTCTCCTACCCAAACATTACTGCCCAGCCTCCCAAGGTGCTCCTGGTTTCTGAACACCTGTGGCAGTGCCTTCCATGTTGGGAAAGCCAGCTGAGAAAGTACTCCCCCAGGAGGTGGGGACTGGTGATTGCCTGAGTGAGGAGGCCGGGATGAGCCCTGGATCAGAACTTGTGACCGGGGCTGCTTTTCCTTTCCTCCTCTCCTTCCTATTTTCCATCACTCCCACTTTTAAAATTTTTTTTTTTTTTTTTTTTTTTTTGAGATGGAGTCTCGTCTGTCGCCCAGGTTGGAGTGCAGTGGCTGGATCTCACTACTGCAAGCCCACCTCCGGGGTTTCTATGCCATTCTTCTGCCTCAGCCTCCCGAGTAGCTGGGACTACAGGTGCTTGCCACCTCGCCCTGCTGGTTTTTGTATTTTTGGTAGAGACAGGGTTTCACTGTGTTAGTCAGGATGGTCTCGATCTCCTGACCTCGTGATTCGCCCGTCGTGGCACCCCAAAGTTCTGGGATTACAGGCTTGAGCCACCGCGCCCGGCTTAAAATTTCTTATTAAAAATTGAGCAGTATTTTGGTTTCGGCCCGCCATTCCTCAATTGTATGCAGAGGAGCCTGACAGTGGAAAGGAAAGTTGTATTTAGCTTCAAAATGATCCTACCAGCCCCGCATTGAGGGCTTCGCCAGGCGGCATTGTCAAGTGGCGTTGTGGAGGTTCTCCTTTCAGTCCTCAAAGGCACCAGCAGAGGCAGGTGGTACTTATTCCTGGTTAATGTTGAGAAAGTTGGAGTCTAAAGTGGCTAAGGGAACTTCCCAAAGTCACAGGGAAGCAGCAGAGTAGAACCAAACACAGATTGTCTCTGAATCAGGCAGGTCGTCAGATTCCAAAATGGGCTCTAATTTTAAGGTCAAAAAGCTGAACAGACACAGATATTTCTTTTTCTTCTTCTTTTTTTTTTTTTTTGAGCTAGATTTTGCTATGCTGCCTAGGCTGGTCTAGGCCTGTTGTCCCCTACCTTAGTTCTGAGGCTGGGCTTACAGGTTTGTGTCACTACATCCACAAAGAAATAGAGCATTTCTTTAAAAAGACATATGAATGGCCAAAAATGTGAAAAATGCTCAGTATCACTTATAATCAGAGAAATGCAAATCAAAACCACAGTGAGGTATCATCTCACCTGTTAGGATGAGTATTATCAAAAAGACAAAAATAATAAGTGCTGGTGAGGATATGGAGACAAGGAGCTCTACACACCTAGGTGTACACCAGAGCAGCTGGCTGGGCACGGGGCACACGCTGACATCCCAGCACTTTGGGAGGCTGAGGCGGGCAGATCACCGAGGTCAGGAGTTTGAAAACCAGCCTGGCCAACATGGCCAAACTCGTCTCTACTAAAATACAAAAATTAGCTGGGAGCGGTGATCACACCTGTAATCCCAGCACTGTTGGCTGGCTGAGGTGGGTGGGTCACTGAAGCCAGGAGTTCAAGACTACCACAACGGGTGAAACCCTACTCCACAAAAATACACAAATTTGCCAGGTGTGTGGCGGGCGCCTAACTTGCAGCTTACCAGGAGGCTGGGAGGCATGAGAACTACCAAATGATGGACAAGCATGCCTTCACATCACCACGCACCCAACGGCTGGCTGAACCCTGTCCATGCGCCCAACCCAAATAGTATGGAGGTTCCCTAGAAATCTGTAAATGAAATTACAGTGTGACTCCCAGCAGTCCGATCTACTGTGATAGGATACTCTAAAGAAAAGGAAATTCAGTGTCGGAGGGGTGCATCCGCATCTATATGTTTCTGGCAGCACTGTTCACTATAGCCAAGATACGGAATCAGCCTCGGTATCCATGCAGCAGATGATGGATAGAGAAATGTGGTCTTTATAAGGCTGGTGGAGTACTATTCAGCCATAACACAGGATGAAGTCCTGTTATTCCTTACAGCAACGTGGATGGAACTGGAAGATATTATGAAATAAGCTAGGACAGAAAGTTACACAGTACATGTTCTCTGTGGGAAGGGTGTAAGAGGATCTCATGGAAGTTGAAAGTAGACAGAGGATCCTAGAGGGTGAGAAGGGTGGGAGAAGAGGGAGATAGGGAGAAATTTGTTAAAGGATACAAAATTATAGCTGGATAGGAATAAGTTCTAGTGTTCTATAACATAGGATGACTATAGCCAGCTAGGAATATATAGTTTCAGGCTGGGAGCGGTGGTTTCATGCCTGTAATCCTAGCACTTTGAGAGGCTGAGGTGCGGATCACCTCTGAGGTCAGGTTTGAGACCAGCCTGGCCATCGTGGTAGAGAAACCCTGTCTCTACTAAAAATACAAAATTAGCCGGGCATAGTAGTGTGCCTGTAATCTAGTTACTTACGGAGGCTGAGGCAGGAGAATAGCTTGAATTCAGGGGGCGGAGGGAGGTGAGATTATATTTATTGTATTTAGCCTGGGCAACAGAGCAAGACTTTGTCTCAAAAAAAAAAAAAGAATATATAGTTCCAGATAATTGGAGGAAGGGTATTGAATGTTACCAACACAAAGAAATGATAAATGTTTGAGATGGTGGATATGCTAATTATGCTGATCACATGCACACATATTATAACATCACTGTGTACCCATACATATGTACAGTACACAATTATGTGTCAATTAAAAAAAGCTGAACTTAGATAGGAATGATATGAAGTAGCTAGCTTTTCATATTTTAGATATAGACTTTAGGTATTTATTTTATAAACTACCCTTGGCTTCAGGAAATGCTTAGTATCTGAATCTTAGCCCCAGCACTTATAATACAGAGAAGTAAAACTGCAGGCCTGCTTTAGATACAGCCCACAGGGGTTTGCAGTGATGACTTTATCTAATAAGGGGGAATACACTAATTAATAGGCATACATGCCTTACTTTCTTTTCTCCCTGTATACACTTTTAGTTGTTGTCCAGATACTGTGATACTTATATAAATAGCATGCGTATATCCTAGGTAGGAATCAGAATTTTAAGGTAAGAATATTTAGAGTTATATATGTCAAAACTTTCAAACTAGGCATTTCACATGTCCAATATATAACCGTAATTAAATTTTCAAAAAGACAATACCTGTCTTACATGGGTGATGCGCCAGCATTTTTTTCTTTTTTTTTTTTTTGAGACAGGTCTCACTTTCTCCCAGGCTGGAGTGTAGTGGTGCGATCATGGCTCACTGCAGCCCCTGCCCCATAGGCATGAGAGAGATCTCTTCCCACCTCAGCCTCCAAGCAGCTGGGACCACAGGTGTAGTTAACACATGCCCAGCTAATGTTTAAAATTCTTGCAGAGACAGGGCTTCCTCTGCTGTACAGGCTGGTCTGGAATTCCTGGGTTCAAGTGATTCTCTCGTTTCATCCACCCAAAAGGCCTGCACGTTATGACATGTGCCATTGCCTGGCCCTACATAAATGGGATGATGACCTGAGACCAGGGAGTTCCACATCAGCCTGGGTAACAAGGCACAAGACCCTGTCTCTACAAAAACTAAAAAAATTAATCATTAGTGTGGCACCTGCCTGTGGTCCCAGCTTACTCCAGGAGGCTGAGGCAGGAGGATAACTTGAGCCTAGGAGTCGAGGCTGCAGTGAGCTCTGACCTTGCTGTGCATTCCAGCCTGGGTGATGGAGCAGACCTTGTCTCAAAAAAAAAAAAAGTTACGCTACCTGATTTTCCAGGAAAACCTGAACTCTGATCTAAACCACACAATTCTTACAAAAATTGTAACTCCCAAAATGGATCGTGTGCTAAAATGTAAAATGCAAAATAAAGATGAAAAGAGGAGCTAGAGACTGGGAGAAATTCATTTGCAAACTACATGTCTGATAAAGGCCTGATATCTATAATATATAAAGAACTATCCAAATTCAGCAGTGAAACCAAATCATCTAGTTTGAAAACAATAAAAGACCAGAAGAGACATTTCAGATAACATACAAGCACATGAAAAGCTGTTCAACATCATGAGCCATCAGAAAAATGCACACTAAAGCCACGTCACTATACACCTATCAGAATGCCTAAAATAAAAAGTAGTAAGAAAGACCAATGCTGGTGAGGACAGGAAATGGGATCACCTAACACCTGGCTGGTGGGAATGGAAGATGGTACAGCCATTCTGGAAAACAGCTTGACAGTTTCTTTAAAAACTCAATGCACCACACAGGATGCAGCACTCACATTCATAGGCAGTTATCCCAGAGAAATGAGACCTATGCCGACACAGCCCTATGCATCCTCCATGTTGCCACCAATGATTATCACTGAACCCAAACGTTCTGAGATTGCTAGTAGGTGAATGGTTAAATAAATTAGGGATGGGAGGAGCTGATATGATAGGAGACAGACGAGTTTATTGTCTTCAACCAGAAACTACCATCGTGCTTACTCCTTTTTCCATCCTGGTCTGAGGGATTTCATTTGCATTTCTTTCCAATGTATTTTCCTCTGTCCTTTCTGGGTTGCATTTCATGCCTGATTTGAACTGTTTTAAGAGCCACCAAATTACTTCTGGGCCTTCATCATGGAATCCTTTCACACTTCATGCCCTACATTGTCATTGAACAACTTTCCAAACATGAACAAACTAACTTCTAAAAGAAATATCCCAGGTAGCCTCTCCAGATAAGTATGCTTCTGTTAGAAGTTTGACTTTTGGTTCATAGGAACCCTGCAGGACTGGGTAGAGAGACGGATTTGCTGTCTGCATTTTCAGATCAGGCAGAAATCCCGGAGGGGCCTATGTGAATAGTGGCACAAATATCGGGTTCTAAATCAGAAGCCTCATATCCTAGTTCTAACACTAGCTGGATGTTCTTGGGAAAGTTTTGATTTCATAATTCAGAAACTCCATTTCTTAAGAAATGGAGATGGGAAAACATACTCAAGGGATCAACACAAGGTCAGCTGAGATGATGAGGGCATGGTGAAATATGCTGTATAACCTGAAGTACGTCGATGTGTGGAGGGGGCGAACTGTGATAACGGTTCTGGAATCATTGTATGAAAACGATGGAAAGTACATTCTGGGTAGTTCTGCCTGATGATACCACTGGGCACCTGTGTTGTAAGTGACTGCAATGATGGGTGAGCGCCTGGCCAGTAAGGTAGCCTACAGTTTGGTTTTATGCAGTTAGAAAGGCCGGAGAGGACCCTTCCTCTGAAGCTGTAGTGGCTGGAGGCGGCTGTCTCCTGCCTCTATTTGTGGGATTGTCTGTGGCTCCTTGGGGACAGGAATGCAGAGTGGGGGAAGAAAGCCGTCTGACTGCTCGCTAGTCACCTCTTCCCCAGGAAGGAGTGGAGGGGTCATTTCGTGTGTAACTTGCCAAGTCTTTCTCTAACCCATCTGCTCTTTGAAATGACCAGCATGACAAGTAAAAGACCCATAGAGACAGATGGGCGCTGGGTGTCCCAGGCGCTTATGGGTTTGTGGTTCTCGAGCTGCCAGAACTCGATAGCCTCTCTGGGGAACGGGTCAGCCAAGGGGCTGAAAATAGTAAGAGGAAGAAAATTCACCCTCACTGCTCTGGTCCGGGAGTGATTACTGAGGGGAGCGGCATGGAGGCCCAGCCGTGGGTCCTCTCTCAAGCACCTCACCGCAGTGGGAATGCGGGTCCCAACCTCCCTAGGCCTCCGTGATTTCATCTGTCACATACTCACCTCCACCAGGGACGTCTATGGTGATGAGATGAGGAGCATCAGCAGCACATGTGGCACTTAGTGCAGGCTTGTGGTGAGTGGATTACTGGCGTCAGTGGAACAGGAGACTGGGAGCTGCATGGACGACTCACGTGCACAGCCGAGTGGACAGAAGAGAGGGACGCCCTGCCGCTCTCCTTTGGTCTGTCACTCTGCTGCTGTGAACAGAATCCGTGGAGTGTATTCTGCTGCCCTGTCAACTTGGTAGGCTGATTGCTCAATTCTTGCTTCCACTTCTTTGATTTCTTAAGAATGTGGGAAAAGGAATATCAGCTACTTTCTGGTTGATGGCATACATTCCTTGATATCACCTTAATGCTTTTTAATTTCTATGTATTTTGGATGCTGGAGCTTGCCTGACATCTGTGTTTTTATGCCTCACCTTGCGCACAACTGCTGGCTACACCAGACCAGAGAGAAGTGACCAGGACTGATTGGTAGCAGGGCCAGGGACTGGAATTCTCCAGCCTTTGACGCCGTTATGGGCCTCAGTTTTCTCTGTATTGCAATTGCCTTTCCCTATTTCTGACTCTGTTAGACAGTGGATGTGGAAATGGGAGCGATGCTTTGGGGGTGTGCTAGGAGTGTGGCAGATGCCTCAAACTGGCATTTTCCCTTGATTCCGACCTCATGGCTCAGAGAGTCAGTCTTAGCATTGACCGAAGACAGGTTGTTTTGTATGACAAACTATGCCAGGCATTTTTTTCACCCGGCAATTTATTTGGTTTGACTGGAAGAAATTCCTGATATTGGTTTCATAATATTATTAGGGAGTGGAGCCTGACTTGTTAACTTAGTCCGATTCATAGTGCTTAGAATCAAAGAGTGTGTGCTGAACGGAGCGAAGTGTGAGAGCATCTGGACAGTGGCTCTGCAAACCTAGCTGCATCTCCGGGGCTGTGAAAAACACATGCGTGCTTACTCCAGACCAGTTGAAATAGAATCTGCAGGAATGGAGCCTGGGCAGCTGATAGTTGCTAAAACCCTCAGGTGGTTCTGATATACTCCTAAAGGTTGAGTAAAGGTTGAGGGATCCACTGATCCAAGGTGAATTAAGTCCTGACTGGCAGACATGCCTTATGCTTTCACCAGCTTAGAATGGTTCTTGTGCTTTGTGAACTGTAAAGTGTTATGCAAACAAGTGTGGAAATAGCCCAAATGCCACATCCCGTTACTACCCGTCATGAAGTGCACTGCACAGCTATTCCACTCTATCTCCGATCCCCCACCAACCCAAATCTCTCCTCCACAACAACTGATGTCACTGTCCCACCTAGTCTAGTTGATTAAGTAGGAAATGATTTTGGGTATGGGGTGATGGAGTGACGGAGGAGATGAGCAGGAGAAGCGAGAAGAGATGGAATAAGGCCTGGGTCAGGCCTGGGCTCTTGCTAACTAGCTGTGTCATTTGGGGACAAGTTTTTAAGCATATATAAACCTGACTTTCATCTATGAAATGGGATGACAAGGGGTCATTATCATCTCACATGATCGTGCAAATGTGTGTGTAAAGTGCCTAGTTTGGTGCCTAACATATAGTAATCTACTCAGTAAAGTAATTATTACACCATCATCATATTTAAAATGTAAATATTAAGAGCTAATAAATTTTGTAAAAATATACCTTTACCCCCTTGAATCAAAGACTACTTTAGTTTTGCGGTTATGAATTTATCACTTAAATATTGGCCTCTCTTGAATACCTTTGGAATTTCTTAAATTGAACGTAGCCAGAGGATTTCATAATTGACCGTTGCCTCTGGAACTTGGAGCTTTGTTTGTTTGTTTGGTTTCACTTTCTACACTAAGCATGGGGCTGTACGCACCTTTATGGTGACTTCTACTGGGGGAATCAAAGCTCATTCGCTTCTTTGGAGGAGATGATCTTATGCTATATGAAGCACTCAGACTTTGTTAACTGTGTACCATCCAGATAAGACCAGGTGCTTCCCATGGCAAGCCTTTTCTTCTTAGCTCTCTCATCAATCTAGCCTGTTCCTTCTATTCCTCTTTATACTAGAACTTCTCTTTGAACAAGGAATGTTGTTTTGTCACTACTAGGTCCCCAGCAATTAGTAATGCCTAAATATATACTAGGTGCCTGAATGTTAATAGGTGATAACTAGCAGAAGACAAGATAAATCCACAGGTTGAGATTTGCTGAGTGGTATGAGCGCCGCATTGGCAAACTTATCAAATCAATTTTATTAATACAAGTTTAACATATCTTAGTAACTGACTTAGTCTAGAATCATTTACTGAGGCTCCTAGGCCAGACATTGTGACAGAAAGGTAATAATATATGATCCTGCCTCATGCACAGGAAGTCTAGTGCGATGGATAGATACGTGCCAATGGCTGCCATGGAATACGGTGAGCATTAAGATAAAGGGGCACCCTGTGTGCCCTTGGAGCAGAGAGCAGGGCTTGTGTTCCCTGGGGAACATGGGCTCCAAGGAAACACACCTAAATTTTTTTTTTTTTTTTTTTGAGATAGAGTCCTCTGTGGTCCAGGCTGAGCACAGGTGTGATCTCGCTCACTGCAACGCTCCCCCAGGTCTGCGATTCTCGTGCCTCAGCCTCCCGAGTAGCTGAATAACAGGTGTGCGCCACGCCTGGCTAATTTTTACTCTATAGTAGAGATGGAGTTTCATCATGCCATGGGTTGGTCTGGACTCTGACATCAGGTGATCCTCCCGCCTCGGCATTCCAAAGTTCTGGGATTATAGGCATAAAGCATTCATCCTTTTAAACATTCAAGTGGGTACTTAACTTTAAATGGGTACTAATTAAACCATTGAATGACTTTAGTATGGATTGAATGACTTTGCTTGGGCCTCTGCTTTAATTTCCTTCGTTAGAGGGAAAAAGAAAAATGCAGGCTATTATCCTCATCCAAAACTGCTTGGAACCAGAAGTGTCTCAGATTTTACATTTTGGATTTTGAATATTTGTATTATACTTGCTGGTTGAGTATCCTGAATTCAAAATCCAGAGTCTGAGCTGTTCCATGAACATTCTGCTGAGCGTCACGCTGCACTCAGTTGTGGATTTTGAGTTTCTGGGTTAGGAGACTTCATCCTGTATGGGCGCTGGATGTCGAGGAGTTCCGACCAGAGATTGGGTGACTAGGGTTTGGTTTTCAGCCTTGTTACTAAACAGGCTGTTTTCTTCCATAAGCTCAGCTTCTAGATCCCCTGGCTGTCAAAGAAGGGAATGGGCCATCTGATGTCAGCCCTGTTAGTTCTGACTTGGACACCTGGCTTCCAGTTCATCTTCCTTAGGAGTGGACAAAGAATATGGGAATTTTGAAATTGTTAGTCAACATCTGTTGTGCTGTTGCAGCCTGGTTTTAAAGGTCATCTTTAGTGAGCCCAGGAGAAATAGTGGTTTAGCTGTCAGCTGAGAGGTAAGTGGTCCTATTAATTTTCCTCTGTGGTAGTGAAAGCATTGTTAAGGGTCACAGCAAGTAGTGGAAAGCTGGCTTATACAGAGGGAGGGGAACCTGCTGTTACAGGTTATATTGAACGTGTTTTTCTGTGCTTACTAAATGCTTTTATGATACGTTTTCAGATTTCAGTGTTGTATGACTTCTGGTGTTAAGCACAGGAAATTTAACGCCAGCAAAAAAGAATGCTCTTTTCTTTCTTTTGAGATGGGGTTTCTCCTGTCATCCAGTCTGGAGTGCAGTGGCGTGATTCTCAGCTCACTGCCACCTCCGCCTCCTGAGTCTGCCGATTTTCCTGCCTCAGCCTCCTGGAGTAGCTGGGATTACAGAGTTCGCCAGCATGCCCACTAATTTTTAGTTTTAGTACAGATGGGGCCTGCCAAAGATTGGCCAGTGTGGCCTTGAACTGACCTCAGGTGATCCTCCGGCCTCGGCTTCCCAAATTGCTGGGATTACAGGCATGAGCTGCCATGCCTGGCCTTGAAATGTTCTTCCAGAATCTACAAAAGCCAGCTTTTGAGTCTAGTGGCAGGAAACTCCTTCTCTTCATTGTTTAGCTGTGCTGTGAGCTTGGAGGCTTAAGCTCCTCAAGCCCAAGCTGAAAAAGCTTTGTATTTTATGTCAGTTGGCTGTCTTGGAGAAGTAATGAGCACTGGGCTGGAGTGATACTGTCAGAGTTCAAGAGCGGCTTGAGGGTCTCAGCTTAGATACTGGGGTTACCAAATACATCGCTGAAGACTCATCATTTCTCTTGGTCTGGGGGTGGAAAATGCAGTGGTCTTAATCTGCCTTAATTTGATAGTGCTACATAATGGTAGGGATGATTTCAGGTGTTTGCATTTTGTTTATAATTCATAGAGAATTTTAAAATCCATTATCTGATTTTATTCCTCAGCAGTTCTGTGAAAACAGAGCAGTTTTCATATCTTCTGTTTTCCTGTGATTCTCTTGTGGTTCACAGAAGCTAAGAGCCTTCACCAAGGTCATAGGGTGAATGAGTCGCAGAGCTGGGAGTAGAGTCCAGTTTCTAGTGACTCTGTTTCTTCCCGGGAATAGCTCACTCGGTGCCATGCCTGTGGTAACTGCACATGTTCGGTTTGGTCTTTGTAAATCCCTGTCCCCATTCTCGGGGAGGTTCTTGGGAGGCTTCTATTCATTTTGGAGCATTTACATCTTGTCCTCTCTCCCTTCCCAGATGCATGGGTATTTCTGCAGGCCCCCCCAGGCTGGCCCTTGTGCGTGGTGTCTCCTGCCTCCACGTTGCTTCTGTATGCCCTCTCTGAAGGTGCTTTCCCGCATGGAACCTCTCGTGCCTGCCTCCACGCTGCAGGCTGTTCGGTAAATGTTACTGACTGAGCATCGCTGTTTCTAGGAAATGGGACGGCACGGATGCCAAGTTCTTTTCTGTGTGAAGGCGATTGTATCATCTGCTCTTCCTGTGTGTGCCTTGAGGGTGTCGCTGTGCTGCGGCCATCTGTGTTCCTAGGATGCTTCCCTGGGAGTCCCGCCGCAGCAAGACCTGCTGTCCGAGGGAGCCAGTTGAGAGGGCAGGAAGCACACAGAGCCATTAAATCTGAAAATGACAAGTGAGGGAAAGGATGGAGTGAGTAGGAGAATGAGAAAGACGCTTAATTGGAGTTAATTTCGTTTAGAAAGCAGCCGTGCAGCCCAGAGGCCTGTAGACTCCCAGCTCTGTGACAGATGAACTGAATTCGCTGTTGCATGAATTTATTATCCTTTTGGTTTTGTATTAGGCCTTTCTCCCAAATGGAATCGATTTTCATAAAAGTCACACTTCCTTTTTGAGAAGTCTAACACTAATTGTATGATGGTCTCCAAAACATTACCTGCCGGAATCAATACACTGCCTCAGACTCACGGCCCCTGGTTTCTGGCTCGTGCAGCTGCAGGGCAGAGAGGCACGCCTAAGCTGAAACCTCAAGACGCCATGTCTGCATCTTCTCTTCTTGACTGCTGTTTCGTCTCTGAGCTGGCCTGCCTTCAACGTCTAGGAGCTTGGTGGGTGTAGACACATTACGGTACGGAGGAGGGATATGGTGTTGTAGCCAGCCAGGAGACTCGCTGAAGTCTCTGTTCTCTTCCTGCTCACTGCTCTGACTTTGTATAAGTCACATGTGTAGGGCTGTGCACAGTGGCTTACACCTGTAATCCCAGGACTTTGGGAGGCCGACCTGGGAGGATCTCTTGAGCCCAGAGTTTGGAACCAGTCTGGGCACCATGGTGAAAGCCCATCCCTACAAAAAATAAAAATTAAAAAATTAGCCAGGTGTGGTGGCTCATGCCTGTAATCCCAGCTACTGGAGAGGCTGAGGTGCGAGAATCACTTGAGCCTGGGAAGTCGAGGCTGCAGTGAACCATCATTGCGCCACTGCACTCCAGCCTGGTCAGAGCAAGACCTTGTCTCAAAAAAAAAAAACAAAAACAAACAAACAAAAACCCATGTGTAATAGTGGCAGTAGTTAACTTTTGAAAGTTTGAAGAAAACTTCCTAAATCACCTGTGACCATGGACAACTTACTTAGCCTTTCTATGCCTCAGTTTCCTCATCTATGAAAAATGAGAGAATATGGTACTGATCTTGCAGGATTTCAATGAGAACTAAACGAGATCAAACTCAGAGCCTGGCACCTCGTGAGCCCACACTCAATGTTATTATTTCAACATTTTAGAGGAAAATGAATGCTAATGGGTCATTATGGCTAAACATAGTCTATCACTGGTGTTACTCATGGTATTGGAAGGAACGTGAATTCCATATAGATAGTGTGATGGAGAAAGTATTTTGGGCATTGGCAGTATTGATTCAAAGAACAAAGGACGTGTCTGTCCTGTGTGGAGAGCCGTTTCCGCTTGTTTCTTTAAATGCTATGGGAAAAGCAGTCGACCCTGTGCTCTCTGCCGGACAGCTTCAGTCTCCACGTATTGATTTGGCCAATTGTCGCTTGCTGTCATCATGGCAGCAGCAGTTGAAGGGACAGTTTGTCTTGATTTGCATTTTTGTGTCTTTGTGCTATTTATAGACAATTAAGACATGGAAGCCTGTTTATGGCAAGCTGGCAAATTCAGCAAAACTTGGAAAAACCTGTTAGCACAGTTTGCACGTGTGCGGGCACAGAGCAGCCAAATAAACACACACGTTTTCCTGTATTTTAAAACTCTCTGGA